TAAATTGATTTTGTATCCTGCAACTTTACTGAATTCATTTAGTTCTAACAGATTTTTGGCGGAGTCTAAGGGTTTTCTGTATATAATATCATGTCATCTGTAAATAGTCACACTTTTAATTCTTCCTTTCCAATTTAATGTTTTTATTTATTTTTCTTGACTAACTGCTCAGGCTAGGACTTCCTGTACTATGTTGAATAAAAGTGGCAAGAATAGGCGTTTTTGTCTTGTTCCTGATCCTAAAAGGAAAAGCTTTCAGCTTTTCACCATGGAGTATGATGTTAGCTATAGACTTGTCATATATGGTCTTTATTATGTCAAGGTATGTTCCCTCTATATCCACTTTGTTGAGAGTTTTTATCATGAATGGATGTTGAATTTTGTCAAGTGCTTTTTCTGCGTCTACTGAGACAATCACATGATTTTTATCTTTCATTATGTTAATATGGTGTATCACACTGATTGATTTGTGGATTTGAACCATCCTTGCATCCCTAGAATAAATTCCACTTGATCCTGGTGTGTGGTCCTTTTAATGTATTGTTGGATTCAATTTGCTAATACTTTGTTGAAACTTTCTGCATCTACATTCATCAAGGATAGTAGCCTGTAATTTTCTTTTCTTGTAGTGTCCTTGTCTGGTTTTGATATCAGGATAATGCTGGCCTCGTAATAAGTTTGGAAGTGTTCCCTCCTCTTGTATTTTTTGGAAGTTTGAGAAGGATCAGTGTTAATTCCTCTTTAAACGTTTGGTAGAATTCCCAGTGAAGCTGTCTGCTCCTCAACTGTTGTTGGGAGGTTTTTGATTACTAATTCAATCTCCCTACTTGCAATTGGTCTGTTCAGATTTTCTATTTCTCCATAATCCAGTCTTGATAGGTTGTATGTTTCTAGAAATTTATCCATTTTTCTTAGGTTGTCCAATTTGTTGGCATATAATTGTAAATGGTAGTCTCTTATAAACCTTTGTGTTTCTGTGGTGTCAGTTGCAATGAGTCCTCTTTCACTTATAATTTTATTTATTTGAGTTTTTTTCTTGGTTAATCTAGCGAAGGATTTTCAATTTTGTTTTATCTTTTCAAAAACCAATTCTTAGTTTTGCTGATCATTTCTATTTTTTCCCTATTCTTTATTTCTGCTCTAATCGTTATTTCCTTCCTTCTATTAATTTTGAGCTTAGTTTGCTCTTCTTTTTCCAGTTCCTTCAGGTGGAAGGTTCGGTTGTTTATTTGAGATCTTTTCTCTTTATAGATATAAACTTTCCTCTTAGAAATGCTTTTGCCATATCCCATAATATCACAAGATTTTTTAAAATTTCCCTTTTGATTTCTTCTTTGGTCCACTGGTTGTTCAGGAGTGTGTTGTTTAAATTCCATGTATTTGTGAATTTTCCAATTTTCTTCCTGTTATTGATTTCTAGTTTCACACTATTGTGTTTGGAAAAGATGCTTGATATAATTTCAATCTTCTTGATTTGTTAAGATTTGTTTTGTGGCCTAACATATGATCTATCCTGGAGAATGTTCTGTTTGTTCTTGAAGAGAATGTTGTTTTCTGCTGCTGTTGGATAGAATGTTCTGTATATGTGTGTATAGATCCATTTGGTCTATAGTATTGCTCAAAAGTGCTGTTTCCTTATTGATTTTCTTTCTGTATGATCTATCCATTGTTGAGAGGGGGGTATTAAAGTCTCCTACTTTTACTGTATTGTTTATTTCTCCCTTCAGTTCTATTAATATCTGCTTTATATTTAGATGCTCCGGTGTTGGATATTTACAATCGTTATGTCATCTTCATGAATTGATCCTTTTATCATATATAGTGACTTCTTTGTCTATTGTGACCCTTCTTTTTTAACTTAGTTTATTTTTTCTGATACAAGGATAGGTATCCCTGCTCTCTTTTTGTAAGCATTTGCATGGAATATCTTTTTCCATCCCTCCACTTCCAGCCTATGTGTGTCCTTAAAGTTAAAGTGAGTCTCTTACAGGCATCATTTCCCTTTTAAGACAGTGTGGTATTGGCAAAAGAATAGACAAATAGGTCAATGGCAGAGAACAGAGAGCCCAGAAATAGACCCTCACAAATACACTTAACCGATCTTTGACAAAGGAGCAAAGGCAATATAATGAGGCAAAGATAGTCTTTTCAACAAATGGTATAGGAACAACTGAATATCTGTGTGAAAAAAAAAAGAAATACGGACACAGACCTTATACCCCTTACAAAAGTTAACTCAAAATGTATCATAAAGCTAAATGTAAAACACAAAAGTACAAAATTCCTAGAAGATAACAAAAGAAAATATAGGTGACTTTGGGTACAGCAATGACTTTTTAGATATAATATCAAAGGCATGATCTATGAAAAAAATAATTATAAGCTGAATTTCATTAAAATTAAAAACATCTCCTCTCCAAAAGACAATGTCATGAGAATGAGAATTCAAGCCACAGACTAGGAGGAATTATTTGCAAAAGACACATCTGATAACGTACTATTATCCAAAATATACAAAGAACCCGTAAAACTCAAGAATAAGAAAACAAATAGCCCAATTAAAAAATGGGCCCAAGACCTGAACAGACACTTCACCAAAGATGATATACAGATGGCTAGTGAGCATATGAAAAGATGCTCCTCATCATGTCATCAGGGAAATGCAATTTAAAATAACGAGATAACACACACTCCTATTACAATGGCCAAAATTCAAAATGCCGACAGCATCAAATGCTGACAAGGATGTGGAGCAACGGGAACTCTCATTCGTTGCTGATGGATTGCAAAGTGGTACATTTTGGAAGAAGGTTTGATAGTTTCTTAGAAAAGTGAACATCCTCTTACCATACAATCCAGCAAATGTACTCCTCAATATTTACCCAAAGGAGTTGAAAATTTATGCCCACACAAAACCTGCACATGGATACTTATAGTAGCTTTATTTGTAACTGGCAAATCTTGGAAGAAACCAAGATATCCTTCAGTAGGTGCATGGATAAATAAACTGTAGTACATCCAGATTTTAGAATATTATTCAGCACTAAAAAGAAATGAATTATCAAGCCATGAAAAGGAATTTGAGCAATCTTAAGTGCATAATACTAAGGGGAAAAAGTCAGTCTGAACAGGCTACATACCGTATGATTCCAGCTATATGATATTCTGAAAATACTGGGTTGGCCAAAAAGTGCCTTTGGTTTTTAAGTAAAAATAAAAGATACATTTTTTCATTTTCACCAAGAAGTTTATTGAACAATGTATTCACCCTTTCGTTCCACTACCTTCTGCCATTTTTCAGGCAACTTCATAATTCCATCTTCCCAAAACTTTTTACCTTGTTGAGCAAAGAACTCTTCCAGGTGCCTTTTACAGCTTCCAGGGCATTGAAATTTTTTCCATTAAGAGAATTTTATAAAGACCAAAATAAATGGAAATCCGAAGGTGCAGTGTCTGGTGAATGTGGCGGGTGAATCAGAAGTTCCCAGTCAAGCTGTAATAGTTTTTGCCTGGTCATCAAAGAAACCTGAGGTCTTGTGTTATCCTGATGGAAGATTATGCGTTTTCTGCTGACTAATTCTGGATGCTTTTCATCGAGTGCTGCTTTCAGTTGGTCTAACTGGGAGCAGAACTTGTTGGAATTAATCGTTTGGTTTTCCAGAAGGAGCTCATAATAGAGGACTCCTTTCCAATCCCACCACATATACAACATCACCTTCTTTGGGTGAAGACTGGCCTTTGGTGTGGTTGGTGGTGGTTCATTTCGCTTGCCCCACGATCTCTTCCATTCCACATTAGCGTACAGTATCCACTTTTCATCACCCCTCACAATTTGTTTTCAAAATGGAACGTTTTCATTACGTTTAAGTAGAGAATCGCATGCGGAAATACGGTCAAGAAGATTTTCTTCGCTTAACTTATGTGGAACCCAAACGTCAAAGCGATTCACATAACCAAGCTGGTGCAAATGATTTTCAGCGCTTGATTTGGATATTTTGAGTATGTCGGCTATCTCCCATGTGGTATAATGTTGATTGTTCTCAATTAATGTTTCGATTTGATTGCTATCAACTTCAACTGGTCTACCTGACCGTGGAGCATCATCCAGCAAGAAATCTCCAGCACAAAACTTTGCAGACCACTTTTGACATGTTCGATCAGTCACAGCACCTTCTCTATATACTGCACAAATTTTTTTTTGCATTTCGGTTGTGTATTTAACCTTTCTTGAAATAATAAAGCATAATATGCCAAAAATGTTGGTTTTTTCCTTCCATCTTCAATATTAAAATGGCTACACAAAAATTCACCAATTTTGATAAGTCTTTTTTTAAATGCACGCTGATATGACAGCTGTCACATACAATCAAACTTATTTTGAATGAAGTTAAAGACAACTAAGTGCTACTAGAGCCATCTTACACAAAAACCAAACGAACCTTTTGGCCAACCCAATAGCAAAACAATGGAGCCAGTAACAAGATCAGTGGTTGCCACAGGCTGGGGGAAGGGAGAGATGAATACACAGAGCACAGAACATTTTTAGGGCAATAAAACTATTCTGTATGATACTACATTTGTAGATACATGTCATTATACATTTGTCAAAACCTATAATAATGTACAACACTGAGACTGAAGCCTAATGTAAAATATAGATTATGATATGTCAATGTAGGTTTATGAGTTGTAACAAATGTATCACTGTGGTACAGGATATTGACAGTGGAGGAAGCAGTCCATGTGTAGGGGCAGGGAGTAAATGGGAACTTTCTGTACTTTCTGCTTAATTTTGCTATGAACCTAAAACTACTCCCAAAAAAAGTCTATTAAAAAAACATAGCTCTTAACCACCTTTTAATACTACGACCCAGATCAAAAACAGTTGTTTCCACTTTGGATAAGAAGGTAAAACCACTGCTTGATTATTTCTAAAACCTAGCTTCCAAAATCATCTTAACTGGTAATTTAAGGCTCACAATGAGGATCAAAGAACTTACTTTTCAATTTTCTTCCTTTGTTCTTTTTGCCTCTGTTGTTCTTTCACTTGTTCTCTTTCAATATCCATGAAAAGTCGTCTATATCTCAGGTACTGCTTTTGACGCTAAAGAAAAGAAGTTAAAATTGTTAAGAGTCCGCTCTCAGAGGACTTTCCAAGAAAGGAAAATCCTTGTGCCATAGACAAGAAAACTATATGACACAAAAGTCACAGGGAATTAAGTCCTTAATTTCCTTCTATTTATGGTGACTCAGGATAATATCACATATAGCAAGAGATTTATATTTTCAAGCACATAGCTATTAGATGTAACAGACAAATCAGAGAAAGAAGTACTAATTTAGTTTGCACTTAGCATGGTCAGTTGTCAATAGCCCTTGAGGAAATGATTATATTTAATATGATAAGATACATACTATATTTACTCTGTGCTCCCAAGTAGTAAGTACCACAGAAGCAGAACGAAAGAAAGAATGTAAGAGGTATTTTATAACAGAACGTCACTTTAACTTTCCAAAATTAAAACCACACTACAAAAGCACACTCTAAGCCTAGCCTAATATGGTGGGGAGGAGGGAGGGAAGACTGAGGAATATCAGAGCATCATACTTTTAAAGGGAACAAGTATAATAAAAGCAAATGCTGGGGCTTCCCTGGTGGCACAGTGGTTAAGAATCTGCCTGCCAATGCAGGGTACATGGGTTCGAGCCTTGGTCCGGGAAGATCCCACATGCCGCGGAGCAATGAAGCCTGTGCACCACAACTACTGAGCCTGCGCTCTAGAGCCTGTGAGCCACAACTACTGAGCCCACGTGCCACAACTACTGAAGCCCACGTGCCTAGAGCCCGTGCTCCGCAACAAGAGAAGTCACCACAATGAGAAACCCGCGCACCACAAGGAAGAGTAGCCCCTGCTCGCTACAGCTAGAGGAAGCCCACGTGCAGCAACAAAAACCCAACGAAGCCAAAAATAAATAAATAATTAATTTAAAAAAAAAAAAAAAAAAAAAGCAAATGCTACTACCCTGTGCGTGATCTGTTCATACTTCCAAATTTATATATTCTCTTTTTAAGGGCACAAGCTACTCAAAGAGCACTAGTATACACACAGACATGTTTTTGTCCTTAGAGTAGCTTGTGTCTTTTTGGTAAAAATTATTAAAACTATAATAACAGTTCTCAATATTGAAGATACATCACAATCATCTGACACAGATGCCCCAAACCTACCTAAGATACTGATTCAGTATATCTGCTTTGGGTCCAGGCATTTGTATTTGGAAAAAAGCTCCATGTCTGATTCTGGTGCATGGCCAGTGTTAAAAACTGTTCATTTAAACTAACTTTAGATTGAAAAGGAAAAAAAGGAAGTCACAAATTAAAACTCTTCCTTAAATTAGCTATTATGGCAAATATACACTAACTGAAGAAACTCACTAGGATCACCTCTCTGATTTCACATCAAGGTACCCTAAATCCTAGAAGCTTAGAAGAGAAGTTCAACATATGAAAATGAGTCAAGCAACTTTTGTGCCTTTATCTATGGAATTTGTAGTACTAGCTCTTAATGTGTTAGGACACAACAAATTGTTTCCAATCTCACATATACTATTAGAGTAGAAACACTGATGTCCAAAAGCCATTATCACTACATACCTCTTTCTTGTCTTCCTCTTGACTTACTCCTGACTGAAGTGCCAGTGGAGTTTGGAATTCAGTGTTCAATCCTGATTGATATTCACCACCAACCTGTTAGAAAGTCCAGTCACACAAAGAGACAAAATTGCCAAAAGTTAGCCCTACGTATGTTTTTGATAATTTCATCTATTGATTCCTTTCTCCTGCAATCTTGAGCTCAACTGGGTAAAAACAATTTTTTAAACAAATATAAAAGAATAAAGCTTTAAGAAAGAATAAAAGAAAGAAATTAATCAAACAAAAACAATAAAGAAAAGAAAATATCCAGGTCAAAAACATGGATGGGGACCTCCCTGGTGGTGCAGTGGTTAAGAATCCGCCTGCCAATGCAGGGGACATACATGGGTTCGAGACCTGGTCCGGGAAGATCTCACATGCCATGGAGCAACTAAGCCCATGTGCCACAACTACTGAGCCTGTGATCTAGAGCCCGCAAGCCACAACTACTGAACCCACACACCACAACTACTGAAGCCTGCGCCTACAGCCCATGCTCCGCAACAAGAGAAGTTTCCTCAATGAGAAGCCTGCACACTGCAATGAAGAGTAGCTCCCGCTCGCCGCAACTAGTGAAAGCCAGCACACAGCAACAAAGACCCAACACAGCCAAAAAAAAAAGAGAATGAACTAATGACAGATCAAAATGTTCAGAATGAAAGTCCTTCTAAATTGATCACTTGAAATCACTCTATCATGAGTGTGTGCTTGGGACTGAATCCAGGATATAAAACTAGATCCCTTAACATCTCAAATCTGTAATCATTTTCAATTTATACATATTCTTGAAAGGTGTGAGTTTAGAGAATAAAAGCTTGAAAATACTATAGCCATCAACTGACATGGCAGGGAAGAAACTGGGGCTTATTTCCCCCCTAATTATTAGAAAAGCCTGTTGACATAACTTAGTACACTTACTTGGACATTATATGGCTCAAATTATGATCTCTAACTTTTAGAAATAAAAGTTTAAAATTACTTTTATCTTTTTAGCTTAAACGTTATTTATTTTTCAGCAAAGTTGCAAGATATAAGATCAGCATGCAAAACTCTATTGTATTTTTAGGTACTTGCAATGAACAATCTGAAAATGAAATTAAGGGGAAAATCCATATAAAATATCATCAAAAAATTCTTAGGAATAAATTTAATAAAGGAAGTGTAAATTGTATACACTGAAATCTACAAAACATTGTTGAAAGAAATAGAAGATCTAAATGAATCAGAAGACTTAATATTGTTAAGATGGCAAATTGATCAACAGATTTAATGCAATCTACATCAAAATTTCAGCTGACTTCTTTGTAGAAGTTGACAAGGTTATCCTTAAATTCATACGAAAATGCAAGGGACCTGGAATAGCTGAGATGACCTTGAAACAGAAGAACCAAGTTGGAGAACTCACTCTCCCCAATTTCAAAACTTACTGCGAAGCTACACTGATCAACACAGTGTGGTACTAACATAAGGATAGACTTATAGATCAATGGAATAGAACTGATAGTTCACAAATAAACTCTTAAATTTACAATCAACTTTTTTTTTTTTTTTTTTTTTGCGGTACGCGGGCCACTGTTGTGGCCTCTCCCGTTGCGGAGCACAGGCTCTGGACGCGCAGGCTCAGCGGCCATGGCTCATGGGCCCAGCCGCTCCGTGGCATGTGGGATCTTCCCGGACCGGGGCACGAACCCGTGTCCCCTGCATCGGCAGGCGGACTCTCAACCACTGTGCCACCAGGGAAGCCCGTAATCAACTAACTTTTGACAAGAGTGACGAGCGGATTCAACGGGTAAAAAGAGTCTTTTCAACAAATGATGTTGGGTCAACTGGATATCCAAGTGCAAAAAAGAATGAAGTTGGACCTCTACTGAACACCATATAAGAAAATTAATGCAAAGTGGATTGAAGACCTTGCAGAATGCAAGAGATATAAAATTCTTAGAGGAACACACAGCAGTAAATCTTCATGACCTTGGATCAGGCAACGGTTTCTTAGATATGACACCAAAAGCACAAGCCACGAAAAAATAAGTAACCTGGACTTCAAAATTAAAAATTTCTGTGCTGCAAAGGAAAGGAAACCACCAAGAAAGTGAAAAGACAACCCACAGGATAGGAGAAAACATCTGCAAATCACAAAACAAATAAGGGTTCTGTATGTAGAATATATTAAGAACTCACATAACTCAATAATTAGAAGATAAATAATCCAATTACAAGTTGCACAGAGGATTTAATAATTTTCCAAAGAAGATATACATATGGCCAATAAGCATGTGAAGAGATGCTCATCATTAATCATCAAGTAAATGTAAACCAAAACCACAGTGAGATACGACTTCACACCCATTAAGAGAACTATAATTAAAAAGGCAGACAATGACAAGTGTGGGTGAGGATGAGGAGAAATTGGAACCCTCATAATACTGCCAATGAGAATGAAAAATAGCGCACCCACTTTGGAAACCAGTTTGGCAGTTCCTCAAGGTTAAGCATATGATTACCGTAAGTCTCAGCAATTCCCCTCCTAGGTATATACCCAAGGGAAATGGAAACACATATCACAGAAAAACTTATAAACAAATGTTCATAGCAGCATTATTCATGACAGTCAAGAAGTGGAAACAATCCAAATGTCCATCAGCTGATGAATGGATAAATAAAATGTGCTATATGAATATAATGGAACATTATCCAGTGAATAGGAATGAAGTACTACTACGTGCTACAAGGTCAATGAACTTTGAAAACATTATGCTAAGTGAAAGAAGTCAGTGACAAAAGGCCATTCCACGATCCCATTTATATAAAATGTCCAGAAGAGGCAAATCTATAGCGACAGAAAGTAGATTAGTGGTTGCCTAGGGCTGGGGATGGGGGTGAGGGGAAAAAGGGAGCGAGTGGCTGCTAATGGACGTATGTATGACTTTTGGGGAGTGATGAAAATATTCTAAAACCGATTGTGGCAAAGTCTGCACAACCCTTGGAATATAGTAAAAACACTGAATTGTACACTTTAAATGGGTTACTTGTATGGTATATAAAGTAGTCAATCCTCATTATTTGAATACTCCTATATTATTTGTGAATTTGCCTATTCGTTAAAATGTATTTGTTATCACAAAATGAATACTCGCAGTGCTTTTGTGGTCACTTGCAGACATGCACAGAGCTGTGAAAAATCTGAATCATCAGTTTTACACATTGCAAGCTGAGGTCGAACACGGTGATGCTCTGCCTTTGGGCCTTCATACTGTAAACAAGTATCCTTATCCTTTTCAAGGTACATTTGGTGCAAAGGTTTTTGCATTTTTGTGCTTTTTTTGTTGATTTTGCTGTTTAAAACATCCCTCAAGCACAGTGCTGAAGCACTACCTAGTGTTCTTAAGCATAAGAAGGCTGTGATGTGCCTTATGGAGAAAATATTTACATATATTAGACAAGCTTCGTTCAGGCACAAGCTATAGTAACACTGGCCCTGACTACAATGTTAATGAATCAACAACACACATTAAATAAGGTGTCTTTAAACAGAAATTCACACAAAACAGTTGAGCAATGAATGGTTCAGTATTCACTAAAATTCAGTGTTCATGGCAACTTTATAGGACATAACTACTATGAATAAAGAGAACTGATTGTATATTTCAATAAGGCTGTTATTTTTAAAGTTATTTGTTATAGAGAAAATCTGAAAACAATACACAGCAATAGGCTAATGGTGGTTATCTCTGGAATTTGGGGGGTTTTTTCTTTTTGTTTATTTGTATTTACTTTTGCTATAATAAAAATGAAATTTTCTGCTTTCAAAAAAGTAAGAAAAACTGGACTTCCAGCACTGGCCAAGGAGTAAGCCCACTCTGAGCCTCTCTCTCTCACTGATTGTAACTAAAAATTCCAGGAAATGTGGCCCCTGGTATCTGGAGAGTATATGGGGTGGGTATCCTCAAGAGGAGTGAGTTCAGAACTCTACTCAATACTCTGTAATGACCTGTATGGGAACAGAATCTAAAAAAAGAGTAGATATGTGTATACGTATAACTGATTCACTTTGCTGTACAGCAGAAACTAATACATTATAAAATACATTATAAATCAACTATACTCCAATAAAAATTAATTAAAAAAAAATGCATGAGGGCTTCCCTGGTGGCGCAGTGGTTGGGAGTCCGCCTGCCGATGAGGGAGACAAGGGTTCGTGCCCCGGTCCAGGAAGATCCCACATGCCGCGGAGCGGCTGGGCCCGTGAGCCGTGGCCGATGAGCCTGCGTGTCCGGAGCCTGTGCTCCGCAACGGGAGAGGCCACAACAGTGAGAAGCCCGCATACCGCAAAAAAAAAAAAGATGCATGAGTTAGAAAAGTGGATTCCTTAATTCTGTGTATGAACTGGCACACATCCCAGAATTACCCCTGAGCTGTGCATGCATGGGATGGACTTAAAGAAGTATAATGAAGGCTTTGAGACCTGAACTAACATTGGAGCCACTGTTCACAGAAGATGAGAAAGAACGTATAATCTGAATTTAACCAGGTTGACTGCTTGCCAAAACAAACAAAAATATGCAACATTATTCAGAGGATTTTAATAGAAACCTGTCTCACAATATAATTTTCAAAATTGGACCCAGAAGAAAAGATGGCAAGAGAATCCAGAATATGGATCCAAAGAAAGACATCTCTTCCTCTGAGATTAGTAGGAACAGGTAAGAATGGCAAAAAAGTAAATGGTCAAGGAAGTTATTGCATGATGGCTTCTATTTTTTCTTTTATCGAAAGTCTGAGAGTATGGGGGTGCAGCAGGAACTTTAAGGAGTATTTAAGGGTTAGAATGATCAGTGTGGGCCATAGGTGAGGGAGCGGACAAGTGGCAAGTAAGGAAAAAGCTAGGCAGCACTGGGGACCCAGCTGTGACTATAAACCGTAAGGATGAATGTGTATAAACCTACACCATTAAAGAGCTTTTTTCCAATAAGGCTGGATTCTTTGGGAGCCTAAAAGGTGAAAGGACTGATCCAGGGCTGAGGATTTTCAGGGCTGGTATGGCAGAAGGACAAGAAGAAGAGGTTCTGACTACCAAAGCTGCACCCTCAATTAAACAGTCAGGATTAGGTACCCCTCTTCTGTGCTCAGCTAATGCCCTATGCATCCTCTACCACTAATTATGTTGCTTCAGAATTATCGCTTGTCAGTCTCTCTTCTTTAGACTGTCTGAAATTTGAGTGCTCTGTCTTATTCATAGTTATATCTTTGATATTTAGAACCTAAACAATGGCTAACACCAAACAGGTGCTCAATAAGTGTTTGATTGACTAATTCTTTCTAAACAAATTTAGCAAGAAACCAGCAGGTACCAGGCACCATGTTAAATGCTGTCCACACTCCGGTAAACAAAACAAGTGTGGTGCCTCTCCTCATAAAGCTTATAGGCTAGTGGAAGTCATGTAAATAAGTAAATAATTACAAACTGTCTTGTTTATGGAGAAGGAAACAAACAGAATGCAGGGACAGAGGAAAAACAGAAGAGGGTTGCCGTATGGAGCATAAGCTCTAAAAGATACAAATGCATTCACCAAATGGCGTGAGCAGTGACGTAATGGTAGTAGAAATACTTTAGGCTGCAGCGATACCCCTGATGTAATCTAAATAGGTCAGAATAGTCTAATATATTACGGCATAAAAGTAGACATTACACTTCTTGCCACTACTATGGATCTTAACTGCATCTGCGAAGCAATCCTAAGCTTCTCTATCCATAAAACAAGGATAATAATAGTATCCATCTCCCAGGGTAATTGTGAGAGTTAAATGAGAGAATGGATACAAAGTTTTAGAACCATTTTGGCTACGGTAAATGCTTAATGAATTTAAGCTGTTAGTCTTAATAATATTAATAACGTTAATCTTGATAAGGTGGTCAGAGCAGTCTTTTCTAAAAAGGTGACATTTAAGCTGAAACGTGAAGGATGAGAAGGGACCAGCTTTGTGAAGAAAAAGGAGAAGACTATCCAAGCAGAGGGGTAAAAAAAGCAGAAGAGCTGAAGTAGAAAAGGGGCTGGCATAGTTCAGGATATGTAAACGGCGATGCAGAAGAAAACATGACAGCCTTCCCTTAGACCAATCTTAAGAGACCCAAACCAAAAATAACAAAAGACCTGCAGTTTAGTCCTAAAAACCTCAGCCCAAATCCATAATTCTGCCTTTATGCCTCCTTTTCTTTCTGCTCTCTTAAAAGGGCCAAGAGGAAATTTCTCTTTATCTCTTTCATATATTCTAACAACACTGGTTGCCTGAAGGCTCTGTCTTTAAAATAACATGAAACCACAAGTCAGAAATTATCCAGACAATGGTAAAATTCTAGTGGGAATAAACTAGACTTCAGTTAAGTCATAGAAAAATCTTAGTAGGCCAGCGTACTGTGACATTTCCTTGAAAAACTATAGATCTTAAATCAATACACCAAAACTTAGGCAATATAACTCTAACAAGCTCCAGCCCAAATTCTGAATAGTTTCTTTCTTGGTGATCCTACCTTATGCTCTACCAGGTTACTGATGGAGATCTAGCCCTGGCTGTTGGTGAAAGAGCCTCCCTCCCCCTCCCCCCAGAAACCACTTATTTCTTTCCCTCTCACACCATAGAAGACTAGGGCCACCAGAAATACACCTTTAATAAAAGAACATACATGTAAAAACTACAATTTTTCCAATAGGCAACAAGCGCTCCTGACAATACCCTAGGCTTCGGTGAGTAATCTTAGGTTTTACACACTATGAAATAAACCCAGAATCGGCGTTTTGCTCAGCCTTACTGCTCCCAGCTCAGTAGGACCCACAACCCTATCTAAACTCCAGGGCTCATACTCTACAGTTTGGTTTACCTGTCTGCTGCTGGGAGCCTCTCTCTGGTGCTTGGGTGGAAGATGCTGACGGCCTGCCGGAAGCAAACCTGCTTGCCATCTTTCAGCTGTTCCAGCAGATGGTTGCCGTATGGAGCGTAAGCTCTAAAAGATACAAATGCATTCACCAAATGGCGTGAGCAGTGACGTAATGGTAGTAAAAATACTTTAGGCTGCAGCGAGACCCCTGATGTAATCTAAATAGGTCAGAATAGTCTAATATATTACGGCATAAAAGTAGACATTACACTTCTTGCCACTACTATGGGTTTAACTGTATCTGCGAAGCAATCCTAAGCTTCTCTATCCATAAAACAAGGATAATAATAGTATCCATCTCCCAGGGTAATTGTGAGAGTTAAATGAGACAATGGATACAAAGTTTTAGAACCATTTTGGCTATGGTAAATGCTTAATGAATTTAAGCTGTTAGTCTGAATAATATTAATAACATTATTGATAATATTAATAAGAGATAACACTATCATCACTGTTGTTGTTGGTAGCATAGCTCTGGCAAGTCTATACCAAACTCTAACTAACTGACTTTCTGCTGCTTACATTTTACTATACTCTGCTCTACCTGCTCTCTGGTGGAGCCTGGATCCTGGATTTCATGTAAAACATATTCATGGTGCTCCAGAAATAACTCCTTTCTCCATCTCTCATCTGTCATATTATGTGAGGCCTGCCCACAGTTCCTGTGCTAAAAGAAAACAAACACTGAACATCAACTGTCCAAGCGGTAGCATCATGCCAGGGCAATAGTAAAAGCTTTGGTGAAGAGGCCAGAAGTAGTTTTAACAGGGCAGAATGGTCACAGAACAGGAGGACATTATATCTTTGCCCATTGTTATTGACCTTAACACTAAACCCCTGAAACAGTTACTACTTTGCCCTGTCAATCTTGAACCAAAACCTAAGGAATTTACTCTCTGTTACTTACTTCTCCCTATATTCTGCTTTACTTATTCTCTGGGAGAGGCTAGGTCTTGAATACCAGGTGAAACATACCGATGGCACTTCAGAAGCAACTCGTCTTTCAATCTCCCATTTCTCAAAAGATGAGGGCTGCTTGATACGCTTGTTCTAAAGGAATAACAAAACACAGAACTAATTGTCTAAGCAAAAATTATAGGTTAGTGACAATACTGTACACTTCAGTGACAACTCTGAAATAATGATACTAGGGGAGGGTAATATAACAATTAGAGGTGTGCATGTGTGTGTTTAATATAAAATTTCCAAACATACATAAAAGTGGGGAAAAAATTAGTATAATAAATCCCAAGATACCTATCACCCAGCACCGACAATTAGCAACATCATGTTTTTTGTTTTTGTTTTTTCTTTTAATTTTTATCGGAGTATGGTTGATTTTACAAGGTTGTATTAGTTTCAGGTGTACAGCAAAGTGAGTCAGTTATACATACATCCACTCTTGTTTAGATTCTTTTCCCATATAGGCCATTACAGAATATTGAGTAGAGTTCCCTGTGCTATACAGTAGGTCCTTATTAGTTATCTATTTTATATATAGTAGTGTGATATGTCAATCCCAATCTCCCAATTTGTCCCTCCCAGCAACATCATGTTTTTTCATCCATCTCTTCTCCCACTTTCTTTCCTGGAGTATTTTGAAGCAAATCCTAGATTATTCCGGCACTTTTTTTCTTTTGCATTTTTTGCATGGGGCAACTCTTTATTCAACAACACATTTGGAAGAAGATAAGGCAACAAGGCAATATTTTTATGATGTTGCCAGCATTTTCTCAGGTAAAGCCAGGAAAAAAGCTGTGTCATTTCCCAAAGTACTCCTACTCGATGTCCCCAATAACTCCATGCAGAAACACTAGAAGTGGTGAAGTCTAGGAAGTTTTGAGTGGCAAACAGCTTGTTTTTTCCTTCATCATAACTGGTTTGCAAATTTGATGTCTGGCTTTGGTGTACTGCTTCAGATGGCCAAGAGTAGAATTCCTTCAGTATGTATAAGACTAAATGTCAAAAGGCAAATTTGCTGAAGGACTTGAGTTTAAGAAGAACAATTTACGGCTAACCAATCAACTTTATATAAAACCTGTCTCTTATTTAACCCAAATGACAGAGGTATGCTTTCTCACCTGGACTCTTTAGATCTGGCACATTCTGAAATAAACGAAGACATCATACTCTCAGCCTAACTCTAGAAGCTTTAATTCTATGTAGTCTACATACTAGCTAGCTCGGCAAGCTCCAGCCCAAATCTTAAGAGATTTCATCTGTCACTCTTTCAGGAAGTAGACAGCGCTCTCACTGCATTCTGCTCCACCTGTTCTCTAGGGGAGGCTTGATCTTGCATTTTAGGTTTAACATTCTGATGACACCCCAGAGTCAATTCATCTCTCTCTCTCTCTCTTCTCTCATAAAAGATGACAGTTGCTTCAGAAACATGTTCAAAAGAAACAACAAAAACAGAAAACAAGTCGTCTAACCAGGGCAACGTGCTAACCTTAATACTCTAGGCTTCAGTGAGAACTCCAGGGAAATGGCACCAGATGAGGCTATTCTGATACATTTTGGTTTGAACGAGGATGTTATACTTTTACCCCAACTCTATAAATCTTAATTTTTAATCCCCAAACATGTACAGAATAGTCTGACAAACCCCCCCCAAATTTTAAGTAATTTAGGATCTGCTAATTCTTCCTATAATATTCACGTAAGGGCAGTATGCTTGTGGTAATAATGTGGGCTTCAGCAAACGTTATAGCATAATCTTAGTAAATTAAAATAGTCTGATTCCACAATAAGAATATGAATGTGATTTATCATCCTTCTGAATGACAGAACTGATTTGACTGACACAGTTCACCGAATAAGGATCTGATTCTATATTTTACATTACCAGTTGTTGAAAATGTATGAAATCCAGTTGCTTTATTTCCTCTCTGTCTTGCTGATTGTGCTCTACCTGATCTCTGATGAAGGCCTGGTCCTGACGTTTAGGAGGGAGATACTGATAACCTGCCAGAGAAAAGTCTTCTTTCCCTTTCTCATTTGTCATATCACAATATGACTCCTTGAAGCGTACCTTCTAAGAGAGAAAAAAACATAAAGTGTAAATTGTTCAGTGGCAGTAACATGATAGCAATAATATTCTAGGCTCTATTGGGAGCCTTACAGTAATTTTTTTCAACTCCAGATAATGTGAAACATTATGGAATAAAACAGAAAACCATACTTTTTGAAATCTAGCTAAGAACAATCTTGGAAAGTTCCAAACTAAACCCAAACAATGCAGTTCCTGATGGTCCCTCTCCTTTTTCTGCTCTACCTTGCCGTTGATGAAGGCCTGATCTTGATGCCTGTGTAGAAGATCTTGATGGACATCCAGAGGAGACACCTCTCCCCGACTCCTACCTATCAAAACTGATGCTGGCGGCTTCAAATTTGCTTTCTAAAAAAGAACAAATATAAAATAGCAATTGTTCAGTTAAGAAAGACAGGTTAATCAATAATACTTTAGGTTGCACTGAGAATTCAGGAGTTAACTGAGGTCAGAGTTTAATTGAACATCTTATAGAATAAATTAACACACTATACTCTATTTCCCATAAACCCAGCCACAACCCTAAGTAATTTACTTCCTGTTGATCCCTTTCTTCTTCCTCTTGGTCTACCTGATCTCTGGTGGAGGGCTGACCTTGGAAGCTGGGTAAAAAATACTGTTGGACACTTGTGGGCCACTCTTTTTTCCCATCTTTCAGCTCTCAAAACAGATGACGGCTGCAAGAAATACTTTCCCTAATGAAGAAAATTTTTTAAAAAGCAAATTGTCCAGACAGGGGTAATATGCTGCTGACAATATTTTAACACATAGTAAGAACCCTGGACATTTTATTTGATAAATCAATCAGTGAACTATTTTGTTCCAACTATGGCTCTCCAAATCAGCTGTAATATAGTCCTTGCAAATCCCACTACAAGCCTTAAAGAGCTTATTCCTTTTGGTTATATCTCCTTTCCACTCTATTTTACCTGGTCTGTGGGTAGAAAATCCTGGTCCTGGCATTTGGGTAGAACATTCTGGTCTTTGGGAAGAATATGCTGGTCTGTGGGTAGAAAAGCCTGGTTTTGAAGTAGAAAATCTTGGACTTCCAAAACAATATTCCCATCTTCTAGTTCAACACTCTGATCTTTCAGCATAACACTCTGAGTTTTGGTCTTAACAGCCTGGGCTTTAGGCTCAACAGCTTGGCCTTCCAGCTTGATATCCTGGGTACCGAGCCTCAGCTCGACACCCTGGGCTTCCAGCTCAACACTGCAGACGCCTGTCAAATCACCCTGGGTTTGCAGCAGGTCACCTGGGGCTTCTGGAAGATAATCCTGGGCTTCTGGCAGAACATCCTGATGTAACTGCTTTACCTCTTCCTCTTCCATCACAGCAAATAATGGATTTTTGAATTGTACTTTCTAAAAGTGAACATAAACATCAAATATAGAATGCCAAGCAGCAGCAACACTGGGTTTTCTGCGAGATTCCTAAAATAATCTTAAAAGGATACGGTAGTCAAACAAATTACTAAAATAAAATGCAAAATTACAGTCTTTGCTCAACTCAATAGAACCTAAATCTACAGTCTCAAACCAGTACAAGAATACTGGCATCTCTAGTCCAAATCGTAATTACTTTAATTTCTATTATACTATCTCCTTTCACTCTGCTTTACCTGAACTGTGCTGAAAGGTATATCCTTGTCTTCAAAAAGGAGATCCTGCTGGTCTCCCCAAGACAAATTCTTTTTCCCTTTCTTATCTATCATAATAGATGAAGATTCCTCAGTGTCAGGTTCCTAAAGAACACACAAACAAAAATGGAAAAGAAAAGAAAAAAAACCAACCAAATGTATCTGTTACAGGTAGAAACAAGAATGCATGCAAAAGCATTAAGTTAGAACTCTTCCTCACACCATATATAAAAATTAACTCAAAATGGATTAAAGACCTAAATATGAGGGATAAAATTACAAAATTCTTAGAAGACATAGGATTAAGCAATGGCTTAATAGATACTGCACCAAAAGCACAGCAGCAAAAGAAAAACAGATAAGTTAGACTATACCAAAACTAAAAATTTTGTGCTGCAAATGATAGCATTAAGAAAGTTAAATGACAACCCAGAGAATGGGAGAAAATACTTGCAATCAAGTATCTGATAAGAGACTTGTATTCATATAAAGAATTCTTATAACTTGATAATAAAAAGACAACTCAATTTAAAAACGGCACTACATTTGAATACAGATTTTCTCCACGAGAGATATATAAATGGGCAATAAGCACATGAAAAGATATTCAAGATGATTAGTCACTGGGAAAATACAAATCAAAAGTATGGAGAGATCCCACTTCACACCCACTAAGGTGGCTATAAAAAAGATGGGCAATAACAAGTTTTGAAGACGATGTGGAGAAAATGGAACCCTCATACATTGTTGATGAAAAACACCTTGGCAGGGGCTTCCCTGGTGGCACAGTGGATAAGAATCTGCCTGCCAATGCAGGGGACAGAGGTTCGATCCCTGATCTGTGAAGATCCCACATGCCGTGGAGCAACTAAGCCCGTGCACCACAACTATTGAGCCTGTGCTCTAGAGCCCGCGAGCCACAACTACTGAAGCCCGCGTGCCTAGAGCCTGTGCTCCGCAACAAGAGAAGCCACCGCAATGAGAAGCCTGCACACCACAACAAAGAGTAGCCCCCGCTCACCGCAACTAGAGAAAAGCCCACGCACGGTGATGAAGATCCAACACAGCCAAAATTAATTTTAAAATTAATTAATTTTTAAAAAATTAAAAAAAAAACACCTTGGCAGTTCCTCAAAATATTAAACATAGAGTTAACATGACCCAGAAATTCCACAACCAGAGAAATGAATGTCCATACAAAAACATGTAAAAACTGCTTATAGCACAATTATTCATAAAAGCTAAGAAATGGAAACAACACAAATGTCTGTCAACTGATGAACAGATATACTAAGTGTGACATACTGATGTACTGATACATGCTACAATGTGGACGAACTTTGAATACATTATGCAAAGTGAAAGAAGCCAGTCACAAAAGACGCCATATTATATTATTCCATTTATATGAAATGTCCAGAATAAGCAAATCTACAGACACAGAAAGTAGTTTAGTGGTTGCTTAGTACTGGGGGTAGGGACAGGGAGGGACTGGGGAGTGACAGTTAACAGGTACGGGGTTTCTTTCAGGGGTGAAGAAAATCTTCTAAATTAGATTGTGGTGACAGTCGCACAACCCTGTGAATATACCAAAAACCTCTGAACCGTACACTTTAAGTGGGTGAATTGTGTGGTATGTGAATTATAGCTTAATAGAACTGTTAGAAAAAAACAACTATTGGGCATTATAATCTTAATACTTAAACCCATCCTTAATTAGCTGTGGATAGTTCTAACAAGGCATCTTTTTTCCTCTACTCTTTACATTTCCCTACCTGATCTTCCATAAATTTCTGGTAATCTACAAGAGTTAAAAGACCTTGATGGACCTCAAAGGGCATTTCTCCTCTTATCCCTATATTTATCCTGGTGAATGATGGTTTCCTACAAAGTGCTTTCTGAAAAAAAAGAAAAATTAATACAAATATAAATGGTCTAGAGAAAGCAATATGCTCATGACACTAAGCTGAGTTTTTGTGAAAGATCTGGAGCAATCCTAGCAGGTTATGGTAGTCTAATACAGAATATTGAGTTCTATTTCAAGTATACAAACAAGTCGCTTACATATCAAACACATGGAAGTGAAATTCCTGGTAGGAGAATTTTTTTTTAACATCTTTATTGGAGTATAATTGCTTTACATTGTTGCGTTAGTTTCTGCTGTATAACAAAGTGAATCAGCTATACATATACATATATCCCCGTATCCACTCCCTCTTGCGTCTCCCTCCCGCCCTCCCTATCCCACCCCTCTAGGTGGCCACAAAGCACGGAGCCGATCCTGGTAGGAGAATATTTTAACTTTATAAATGATAATTTGCCCCTATCCTAGCCAGTAACAATTTCAGAAGGCTTACAATTTTGTCTTGGTGATCTAACAGTGGGCAAGGCAAATATATCTCTTCTACATTTATCTCTAAATCTGGAACAACCAGATGTCAGTCAAAATAAGTCTAACAAGAATACGAAACCAGAGTTCAACTGGGTTATAGATTGTTCTCCTTTCTGACTGGCAGCTTCCTCCTTCACACAACTGAATGGATAGAAAACTGTTCAGATTTGAGGGAAAGACTACGTACTTGATAAGAAAAATTTCACTAATTTCTTAGATCATTCTCAATTATATGGAGTAGATTTGTTTGTGATGTTTTACCTGAAAAACACACATGCATTCTTTGGAAGCAAGCAGCTAGCCTGAATTCACCATCAACATCATAATGAATTACACTTAAATGGCACCTTTGACGTATCAAACTGGTTTACACAAGGATGTCATCTCAGACTTAATCCTCCTCCCTTCTACTGGAGAATTATTTCAGTCAGGCCTAGGAACAGTACTCTTTCTGGGAAAAACATCAGTTGAAAGATTTGAACATGCTCCACACAATGTGAAGTATCAGTCTCTAGGCTCTGATAACCCTTTTTTTTTTTTCTGGTTTAAATAAAATGTGTCCAATCATCTCCTTTGAGCAGTACCGGGAAGTCAGTCTTATGGACCAAACTATAGTACTGCCAAATCCGTGGTAGAGGTATGAAAATTGTCAAGAAACTAAGTCAAGAATTTAGTTTCAAAAGACTCTTAAGTCACAACAAGGCAATCCTAGAAAAAGGTAACCATACTTAATGCATCTAAGATGGAATGCCATATGTAGGCACACCCATGCCCACTTGCTTTTTATATTTAACTATAAATTTCTTAATTATCGCTGAAGAGGAAGGTATTATAGCTTAGTATTCTACCAACTGCAAACATATAAGAGACAAATGTCTTTGATGGTTGCACAGAGATACTTTAGGAAAAAATACAAAAATAAAATATAAACATATATGTAATCTAGGAAAATGTAAAAAAATACCAATTAGGAAGCAAAACTGAGAAAGAACTAAGCAAGAGACAGAGTTCTTAATGGTACCAAAAAAAAAGAGTAAAAAAAGACTAATTAATGAGCCATTTTACTGATGCTGCCCATCAAAACTTGAAATTAATGCTAAAATTAAGTAAACACAGGAAAATACATGGGTTTAACATCCAAATTTGTGAACATGGAAATAAGGAGGCACCAAAACAATGTAATTTTACAAGCATAGCTTTAAATATTCTTTTAAGTCTAACTCCATATTTAGGTTCCAATTATTCACCCTAAACTTATTCTTTATTTTGAATCAAAAGAATTTCTTTCTTTTTGAAAAATAATGGTATTGACTTCTTCCTGATTAAAAAATAAAATATATACATTATGGAAAATTTCTACAGTAAAGAAAACCAAGAGAAAAAAATAAAAATCACCTGTAATAACACTATCCAGAAATAATCAGTGTTAACCTCTTGGTCCATTTCTTTCCAGGCCTTTCTCTGTGCTCATAGCATTCTCTCCCCATCTCGATATTTTGCTTTATTTTTTTCATAGCATTTATCATTTGAAATTATATTTTGTATTTATTTGCTTATTTATTATATGCTTCCCTACTAACACAGGAGCTCCTTGTCTACCTTTTCACCACTGTTAAGTCCTGCTTCTAGAACAATGCCTGGCAATCGTAGACATCCCATAAATATTTATGGAATGAATTTTTTAATTGAGCTTACATTGTATCTAATTTTATATCCTACTTTTTCCACTTAACTTTATATCCCAGACACTTTCCCTAGTCTTCAGATACCCTTTGAAAGCATGATATTTTTGATAATAGCTATAAACGAATATATCATAACTTTTAAACCGCTCCCTACTTTTGGATAATTAAGGTTATTTCCAATTATTTTTCAGGTCTAAATAATGTAGAGATGTAAATTAATCTTTATCCTATTTTTTATCTGTATCTTTAGAAACAGCTCATTAGAATTTAATTTACCTCTTGGGTGGGAAAGTTTTTCTTTTGATCATCTGGAAATACCGATGCATTTTTTTTATTCACAGTTTTAAATGATGCCAGCCGGTGACGTGCTTCTTTCATGGTTTGACTAAGCTGCCAAAGAAAGGGGGAAAAAAGAAAAGAAAAACAGGCTAAAGTCTTAATACCAAATTCACTAAGTGTTCCAACAGGAAAACAGGCCCCTATTATTAAAAATTGCCAGACCTAAGACAAGAGGATTACTTGGAAAGGAGATTTTCTGATCTGCTGATAAGTGTATTTACAACATTATTTTCATTATCTTAAGAGACTGTATTTCATAACTTGATTTAAGTGCTGTTACTCAAATCATTTTTTAATAATGTAGGCTTTATATTAAGTACATACACAAAAATATTAGAACCTATAAGCCTGAATTTGGAAATTATTGAACAGGCACATTCCTTACCTTCTATCCATCTTCTTAATAAAGAGTTATTTCTTCAACTGGTCCTTGCATGCCTGATCACTTTTATCACTCCTCGTAAGAAGACTCTCTATTCCTAGTCCCCCTAAAATCCTTTTTTCCTATTTACATGAGTCTCTTCTTCACCCATAACATTTGAAAACTATAGTTATTTAGTCTTTTCTCAAATGTCTCTTCTTCCAGGAAGCCTTCCTAAGTTAATTTAGAGTACAAATTCAAATCTGTCAACAGACCAATTTGTTTCAGGTACTCTAGGTAACAATTGATAATAAATATTAATATTAAATATGTTAATTTTGTGTTCATTCCTTATCTCTACCTAGCAATTTCAGTCAGTATCTATTTTGACTTCTTTTTCAGAGAAGCACACAGCCTATTTTACATTTCACATATCTGCATAGGATGTTCCTTTAAGGAAAATACAGAAAAGCACATCCCTATACTACTCAGTGAAATTATGGCAAAGCCAGGACCAGTTCTAACCCATCCAATGAAAGTTTAATGACATCATTTCTCCCTTAAAGGGAAATAATGACTGTGATTTACAGATATAAATTACAAATACTTTATGATATTTACTAATAGTGACCTAGAGATAAAAACACTCTCTTGCTAACAGCCCGGTTTCCTTACAGCATTATCACCTCTGTTTTGTCCTTGTTTCTAGAAGGTCTATACCTCTAGCCAGAGAAATCAGCTTGAAACATTACTCTTTATTCTACTAAGAGGAGGACTTCTAAATTTGGTTAGTGCAGAGTGGCTAAAGGGGTCAAGATAGAGTTAATCACAATGCAAAAACAGATAGTATATCTGTAGTTGAAGTTATGAAAAAATACAAAGCCATGAACATGCTTACTTTTACTCCTTGCCAAGTGTGGTAGACATTATTGCCCTGCATAAAGTGACCAAGGATGCAAAATACTTGCTGTAACAGATTTAAAATAAGAGTACATAATCTTCATTTTCCATCAAGTCCAAACCTCTATTAGTCGCAGATTGATTTTAGTCCCCTAAGCAGGATATTTCAACTGCTCCAGCAGTTGGACTAGACATTACGTTCAGTTTTTCTGTCTTTACCAAAACCCTTCATCAAATCAACCCAAAGATCCTTTCAATGACCTGCTATGAGGACTGTAGTAGGCTGAATGATGGCCACCCAAAGATATCAGGTCTTAATCCCTGAAATGTTACTTTATAAGGAGAAAGGGCCTTTGCACGTGTGATTAAGTTAAGGATCTTGAGATGAGGAGATAATCCTGGATTATCCAGGCACTAAATGCCATCACAAGTGTTTTTATAAGAGAGGTAGAGGAAGATCAGACATATGGAAGAAGTGATGTGAAGATGGAGGCAGAGATGGGTCTGATGTGGTCACAAGCAAAGGAATGCCAGCAGACACCAAAAGCTTCAAGAGTCAAGGAACAAATTCTCCCTAGAATCTGCGGACACCTGGATTTTGACTCAGTGAAACTGATTTTGGACTTCTGGCCTCCACAACTGTAAGAGAATAAGTTTCTGTCATTTTAAGCCACTAAATTTGGGGTAATTCGTTACAGCAGCCACAGGAAACTAATACAAAGACCAAAGTTAATGTTAATAAGCACTAAACAAAACACAGAAGACAGGAGGATGGTAAAAATCAAATTATGTAAAATGAACAGGCAGAGAAGTACGTTCCTCTTATTGTAAGATAATGGTGATCACTACATATATTGGTGAGTATGTGTGTGTATATATATGCATTTGTATGTGTATATATATACATATACATTTACATATGTAAGTTTAAACACATATGCATGTTGTGTTTGTAACTACTCAAAACATAAAATTTGACCAAAAGTCTTGTCTTTTCTTTTTCTTTTTGGGGGGCCGTGCCATGCGGCTTGCGTGATAGTCCCCCAACCAGGGATTGAACCCAGGGCCACGGTACCGAGTCCTAACCACTGGACTGCCAGGGAACTCCCCCAAAAGTCTTTTCTGTACTAGAAGCTTGGACACAATTTTCATTCCTTTGTAGCTGTTGTTATCAACAAAGACTGGCACTGAATCGCTAACCAAGACTTGAAACTTCCCTGATGGAAATAAATTATTATATAATTACATAGAAAACCCAGCTATCAATAAGCAAAGGTAGTTCTGACCAATAAAATTAAAATGTACTATATAAACAAATTTTGAGATTTAAATAAACAAATTTTGAGACTTAAATCTTAAAATCTAATGCAAACACTGATCATACATTAAAATGTAAACCTTCAAACAAATATGTAGGATGAAATTTGACAAATATAGATATCTACTGTGATACTGTTCCCCACTCATTGTTCATATTTTCTTCAGTTCTTTTTAATTTATTCAGACAATTAGGAATTTATATGGAACTATATAAATGAAACAATGTGGTAATAACATGTAGGTCATGGGAAAAGACTATAGATGAGATCTAACATTTATAGAATTTCACCTCTCGTACTGCCATGGAGGCCTAATACCTATGTACTGAAATGTATGTTAATGCCATAAAAATCTACCCAAAGTTGAATTCTATCCAAGTACAATATAGTTTATTTGCAAAAGATAACATATTGATTTTACAGTGTGTTAGACTTTTCTACAGCCCCCAAAATACCATACACATAAAAACTCACATGAGGCCCTTAGCAAAGCCTATGAACCCCAATGTAGTGCATCAATATACCTTTAAGTAGGCGTACCAAGCTAGAGGCTGGCCAGTAACCTAGACCTAATGCAAAAAGGCAGGATGGGCCAATAAAGATTCCTTACCTTACATAACGAACAAGGAAGTGTTCAGAGAAAAAGTCAGAGACAGGAGCTGGACCTAAAAGATCCTAAGCTGGAGAGAAGAGGCTAAAGGAACCTCAGGTATGCCAAAGTTTTGGAGCTGTGATGATGAAAATACCAGTTAATAGTAGAAAAATAAGTAAAGAAGAGAGAACACATGTAGAGACAGGATGACCAACTCTCAGTTTGCCTGAAACTGTCCCAAAGGAGTTAGTGCTTGAACTCTGCCTCATTGTCTAGTTCTTGGCGACATCTAGTGGATAGAAACTGCAACAAAAACAGTAAGATTAAAAAATATTGAGCATCTATTGTCATGGTGTTGAATGGGCAAAAGTTTACAGGCTTAAAGTAGTTTAAGTCACTGAACATTCCTCAGTAGTGCATCTTCTTTTAAGAAAAAAACAGGGTTGGGAATTCCCTGGCTGTCCAGTGGTTAGGACTCCGCACTTGTACGGCTGGGGGCACGGGTTCGATCCCTGGTTGGGGAACTAAGATCCCACATGCCACAGGGTACAGCCAAAAAAAAAAAGAAAAGAAAAAAACAGTATAAAAACTTTTTAGATTTGGGGAACATTTAAGGCTTTTCATAACATGATTTTTTCCTACCCGTCTAACCTCATTGTCTGTTGCTTTACCCTGTACACTATCAATTAGAAAGGTTCCATCACTTATTAGCAAATATAGTGGGTTGGCCAGAAAGTTTGTTCGGGTTTTTGTAAGCTGTTACAGAAAAACCTGAACGAACTTTCTGGCCAACCCAATACTAAGCTCATTACATATTCTAGACTTTTTACTATTCCTCCTATCTCAAAGTTCTTTTGAATTTACCAATTAAATTCAGTTTACCAATTCAAAATACACAGCTCAATTCCACCTCTTCCAGGAATTCTTCCCAAACTATTTCCTTGGAATTAAAAAAATTTTGAATTTCCACTGCACAAATTTATCAACAATGCAGCAAATATCTCCATATTATTATCTAATAGATTGGGGGTCTACCAACTTTGTTTCTCTACTTGGAAATATAAACCCATGAAAGGTCCTATTTCACACATTAGTATCCCTACAATGGTTAACCAACACAGTATATTCAAATATCTGTGGACTGATGTGTCCTATTCATGTATCATACAAATGAAGTAAAGTCCTCACTACAATGGAATTTATAGCTACCAGTAGCATGAAAGCAAGGACTGTTATTCTGTCTCAGTCAATGTTCTATCCTTTGCAATTTCTGCGGTGCCTGGCTCAATGAATATTTGCTCAGTAAACTGTTCATAATCTTAAAAACAAAAATGATTATAAAAATGATCACTACAAACCAAATAATGACAAGAAAAAGTCATAGTTTGGGCAGAGAGAAAAATCTTTTTAATAAGTATTTCAACATAACATGTGATTATAAAGCTTTCCCTATTTATACTAACAGCATAATCAGATTTGCTTCATACTTATGACGAAGTATGTCAGCAATCACACAACTTTTATTTTCACATAATTTTCCACATTTTTGTTCTCCTCTCACTAACCCTAGGATTACATTTTAAAATGATAAGATGATAAGATGATAAGATTCCCACAGAAGAGTTGAAGAATATGATCAACTGGACAAAAGCCTGGGTACATTATGCAGGGTGGAGGGGGGTACTGATTAGATGGCATCAAGTGATTTGAGTGGATAAATCTACTCATGGTGGTTAATTTTTAAATATTCGTTATATAAAGTGAGTCACTAAAAAGTTACATTAAAAAATTCTGAATATGTTAATTTAGAGTTTACTATATTATTACTTGACTTATAGATCAATTTATGGTGATAATCAGATTGAGGGACAGAAAAAAGAAACAAAAATAATCTTTTGTCCATATGCCACAAACTGAGAGTAACTTACCCATAACACAATTTCAGTATAATTGAAAAATCTACATTCTTTGACCTAAAGCTCTTTCTAATAAGTTTTGAACTCTAACACTTTGGCCCCTTTCTTTAGATGATTCTTAAGTGTCTGACCAATAAATATAAATTTAAAATATATATAAAAATAAACATCATCCCACTATTCCCCACTTTACAAAGGTAAAAAAAAGAGGAGGTGATAAAAAGCAAAGTTGAATGTGACACCTCCTAATCTCTACATCATAGCCTAAAAAAAACCAGAGACATAAAATAAAATGAATATGTACTTACAGCCTGGGCTTGTTGTTGGAATAGTTCATTCTGATTCTCTCTATCTTCTATTCCATCCTCAAGCTTCCTGGAAGGAGGTAACCTAGCACTTCCAATAGCAGCATTCAAATGGTTTGGAAAAACACTCGTTCTTTTAAGAGTTAAGTTTGCTGGATCTGAAGAGTGCATGGCTATAGAGCCTTCTTTTTCTGCCTACACAAAGGAAGAAAGAGTGAGCTTCCCCCAGTCAAGTGCAATCAAATAATGTCTACCAGCAGCCCAAAAGCTTTAAAACCGGGGTTGGGGGGAAGGAGGGGAAAACTTTAGCTGGCAAAGAAACTAACATTTACCAGGCGCCTACTACGTGCTAATATTTTACATTATCTAATTCTCAAAACAACACTGGGAAACAAGTATCATATCCCCATTTCACACATAAAGAAACTATAGTAGAATTTAAGTAATTAGCCCAAGGTCACAAAGTTAGTAGGCAGCAAAGCCAGAATTCAAACCCCAACCCCAAACTCTGACATTGTTTATAACTATTTGGTGAAAGCAAAAGAGGGAATCAGAACAACACAGGAAACAGAAACAACAGCTTCTCTATATACAATCTACTGCCCTCACTAGTAAATCAGACTATGCGAAGCCTGGAATCAAAGGAAAGTGATTCTGTCATTGCCTAATAGCATTTCTCATTACAAACACACTTCCCATTCAATCTTTACTCAGGCTCACTTTTGAACTTACGGCTTCATAAGACCTCTGAAGTTGTTGCTTTTTTCTCAGCCTCATTTGCTGATTTACTCGGCGTTTGACTTGTCTCTGAAAACGCTTCAGAGCTTCTTGTTTCTTTCTTAGCTGTTCCCTTAGCTCTTCTTCAATCATATATGCTGAAGTCTTTAAAGATGAAAGATAGAAAATAAACTTACATGTCCCATTCGTTTTGCCCATTAGGACTCTGTTGTAAACACAAAGCAGTCAGAATACAGCCCTGAAAAAATAATTCAGTTCTACAACCCAAAATTCCCCATACAGTAAAAAAATCACAGGAGTTCAGAGCTGATAATCTAGACGTAGCTAGTGAGTACCAAGAACTTAAACCAAATCACAAACTAAAACTTGGAATCTGTGAGCACTCAAATCAAATCTTAATTTTTCATTGTACCGAGAACTAAAAGTATCTTCATTAATTCTTAATGAACCAATTCAAACCTACATTATGTTACATTTTCTAAAATGAGTAAAATAGTCCAGATACACCAGATTGCTCGCCACTCACCCACTATGTCTTATTATAAAATGAGAATTAGGCTTCATTTTTAACCTAGCATGCCCTTCTTGCCACCTCTGTCTAGAAAAGGCCTACTCAGTCAAGACCATCCAATACTCATCTAGTACCTCTCACTCTTATTAACGTTGAGTACAATACTTCTTAACTCCCCCGTTAGATTACAAATTCTTTGAGGGCAGGAAATGTATTTAATTCTCCTTTGTTTCCCCTATGGTATACAACACAGAGCCTTGAATACAAAGGTACTCAATATTTATATAATTGATTAATTCTAAAACATTCTAAACAATCTGGAACATTTTATCACATTTGAGTCCTTGATCATTGTTTGCCTCCTCTAAGTGCTTTGAATAACAAACTGATTATAATAACAGCAGTTACCATTATTAAAGATCTATTATGAGATAAACACTTTAACTACCTTGTATCAATGAATCCTCAAAACTACCTCCAGTACTAGGTATTCTTACCTCTTATGTTAAAAATGAGGAAATGGGGCTCAGAAGGATTAACCTGTAGTAGTAGCCCAAGATCCTATAGCTGACAAGTAGCAGAGCTAGAAGTTTCTCTGACTCCAACACTTATGCCCTGTACTGTACTGCTTTTCTCTTGACTATGTCTCTCTTCCATAAGGAATCTTCATATTAAATAAAATCATCATACCTCCTATCTATCCCTTCTCCTAATGCAGTGATTCCAAATTCTAATTCTGAGGGGTGCCCCAAATTATTTCACAGACAGTCATTAAATTCTCAAAATCAAATGAATTGAAGTTCCAATTAAAATTCCCAAGAAATCTATCCCATAAACTATTCTACAAGAGTATGTACCATAGGAGTAGAATGTACAAGACAGATATCAATGAATAATTAAGTAAAATAATTCCAAAGTAAATATATATGTAGTAAAGCCTGAACAAGTGACTCAAGTTAAGTCAAGACCCAGACAAATTTAAGCCATTCTGCCTTTCTTTTACTCCCATTGTCTCTGTCTGCCCTCTTTTACTCGCACCTTGAGATTATCAAACATCTTATTGAAGTGCATGACTGGTTCCAAATTGTGGATCTCAAGAGTAAACCAAAGATAAGATTGTACCATAGAAACATATTTTAGAAACATGTTTTTCTTAGCAACATTATTGTGTAAGACAACCAGAACCTGAAAACACTTGTTCCATGGGACGTTAAGAGGTTCCCAGAATCATATAAACTTGAGAAATACTGGGTTAAACGAAAATAAATAGTCGGCCCTCTGTATCCACAGGTTCCTCATCCTCAGATTCAACCAACCATGGATGAAAAGAAAATTTTCCAGAAAGTTCCAAAAAAGCAAAACTTAAATATGCCAAGCACAGGCAACTATTTACATAGCATCTACATTGTATTAGGTATTGCAAGTAATCTAGAGGTGATTTAAAATATACAGGAGGATGTACACAGGTTATATGCAAATACTATGCTATTTTATACAACTGCTTGAGCATCTGTGAATTTTGGTGTCTGCAGGTGGGTGAGGTGGGGGAAGAGGGGGGTCCTGGAACCAATCCCCTCCAGATACTGAGGGACAACTGTACTGTTTCAATTGTACAACCAATTCTTCATAGCCTTTTTGCACGCTATAGACTATCCAAGGGGCAATATAGAATGAAGTGTTTCTCAGGACAGTCAAAGAATACATTCGGAGAATTTATATATGGTGGAACTAATAGTTAGATTACATAGTCCTTAGTCTCCAAAGATGATCTCCCCTTCTGCCCCCAATGAATCAAGCCTCCCAGTATATATGCTCTTGTGTAGTCATCTCCCATACTGAATGTAGTCTGACTGTATACTCAATAGGCTGAGGCACAAGTGTTGGCTCCATGACTTCCCAGGCAAGGTCATAAAGCAACCTCCACCTAGGGAAGCCCATACTAGCCAAGCAGAGAGACCATGTGGAAAGAGGAAGATGTCCAGCCAGCCCTCAGCCATTCTACTCAGCCTAGCCCAAGTGCCAGATATATGAGTAAGAAAGCCATGTAGGATATTACAGCCCAGCAGATGCCAGATAAAGAAGAACCAAGAAATCCAGCCACCAGCCAGAATCCAGTCAAGGTGTCCCAGACATCATCAGCTACTGGGGTCACCCCAACTGAGGGCTCAGACACTGTGGAGCAGACAAGCCACCCCCACTGTGTCCTGCGCAAATTTCTGGCACACAATATTGTTTGCTTTATGCCATTAAGTTTTAGAGTGGTTTCTTACGCAACAGTAGATAATCAGATAAATTATAAAACAATGCGATAGCTATATATGCTGATAGGAAAGCAGTACCCTTGGATGATAATTTAATTAAGGGGCAGTCTCAAACTATGGCGTTTATAGTTATTCTGATGGCTCCTTGAAACTTAAGGACAAAAATAATTAGGCATTTCCCTTTAGCATAGACATGATCTTAGGGTAACCAAGCTTTAGAAGTTCTGAGCTGACAAGACCTACGTCTGTTAATAAGAGTGAATTCCCCAGGCTGTATATGCTAAAGTGATAAAGAGTTCTATTAGATGCTTGATCAAATTGCCTTTGACTGGTAATGATCAGAATTTTTTAAATGAAGGAAAGGAGACATGTTTACACATGCTCCAAGACTTTAATATTTTGAGTTGATATATGGGAACATGTGATGATTCTTTTTAACACAGAAAATCTTGGTCATTTTTAGATATTTTTATGCTATTGATATTATAAAGATATCATAATATGGACAATTAAAAACAGGTGTCAATAATTTAAATACCTTTGTACCAAATCTTACTGATTCTTCTGGGATGTTTCTTACATTTATCCCTTTTCATTTCCATTTCAATCCCCTTTTCAAGGCTTTCCCTCTACATTACTTACCACTAAAATCTTGGTGCTATACTTCATGCCTAAATTGTTACCATTACAACCCAATTTGTCCCTCAGGAGCCAATCGCTCCTTCACCTTTAAAAATGTTAAAGCAGGACTTCCCTGGTTGCTCAGTGCTTAAGAACCCGCCTGCAAATGCAGGGGACACGGGTTCGAGCCCTGGTCGGGGAAGATCCCACATGCCACGGGGCAATTAAGCCCGTGCACTACAACTACTGAGCCTGCACTCTAGAGCCCACAAGCCACAACTACTGAGCCCGTGTGCCACAACTACTGAAGCCTGTGTACCTAGAGCCTGTGCTCCACAACAAGAAAAGCCACCGCAATGAGAAGCCTGCTCGCCACAACTAGAGAAAGCCACATGCGGCAATGAAGACCCAACGCAGCCAAAAATAATAAGTAAAATAAATAAATAAATAGTTATAAAAAATAGAACTTAAAAAATGTTAAAGCAATTAATCTAATCAAAACACTATTTGATCATGAAATTAATCTGTAAATATTAAACAATGAATGAAGTCAATCCCGTCTCCAAAATTTCCTGTGGTTCCCTACCACTCCTATCCACAATCCTATCAACCACCATGCCCCTACTAGGCCTTCCACTGCAATCAATCTAACCTACCCTTAAATCCTAAATATATCTTGCTTACTTCCTACTCTCTCCATTCTCCTTAATTGGAGAATCATCCTCTTTCTTTCTGATTATCCAAATTCTTCATTAAACTTTCCTGGGTCACATCAATTCAAAACCATATCTTTCTTTGTTAAGTGCTATAATAGTCTTAGCACTTAATCATATACTACTCAGACTCAAAATCCTTTCTGGAAATAGCATAGTAATAAATGAATGCTTATGTATATACATCCTTACAGACATAAATAAAATGAATGAATACATGCCATTGCACTGCTATTTAACATTTACTTGAAACATGTCTCATTTCTTCTCTGAGATGAAGGACCACTAAGAGAACCTACCTCATACTTTTCAACTCATGTTCAGCACCTTGTCTATACATTCTGAAGATCTTCAAACATTTTGTGCATTCCATAAATGTCTACATGCTCCATCAGGAAAAGTAGATATGTAAACAACTTACTATAAATATAATGTGGTATTTATAATAATAAATGAACCACAATAATATATGAACAAATAGCTAAGGAGCACAGTTTGGTGAAAGACAATCAAAAATCTTCTTACCAAAAAGGAAAAAAATAATCTTACAAAATTGTCCTCCTGTGTTAATAGCTACGTAAGAGAGTTGTCTGACAGGCACGTATGTCAATTTGCAAAAGTTTCCCTTCATCTGAAATGCTCTTCCCTTTCATCTGTACTTACAGCACTTCCATTCTTTAAGGATTAACACAAACTATATTACCTCATTTACTCATTCAACAATTATATCCTGAAGACTTGCCATATGCCAGTACAGGAATGAACAAAACATCAAGATCCCTGTCCTCATGGAATTTACAGTTAAACTTTCTCGGAATCCCAATCAGAATTAATCTCTTTCTCCTTTATTCTCCCACTGCATCTGAACCTTACTGAATCTCCATTACAAAATTTACCATAAACTTTAAGCAATCAATGTTACATTAACTGTGGTCGTCATCCCTACTACATTGTAGAGTGTTTGGAAGACAGTGCCTATGTCTTGTGCATAGAAAGCAATCAAGGGTTTGCAAAGCAAACTGAAATATATATAGGTAATAAATATTTGATTATGCCGACTAAAGCTGCAGCAAGTTTCGGCAGATACATATTTGTTCTATAATCCTAATGCAAGAACATACCTATTTATGACAGAATAAAAACGGCATCCCCAGACTGTTCATCTTATCTGAGCACCAGGGATTTGAGAAGGCTAATAAAAAGAAAGATGGAGGAAGAACCCCACCATACTTGCATCAAACTGACACTCACAGATGCCGGGACTGCTGAACTATCTGGCGGGGCAGGCTCCACCCATGCCCCAACGGGTACTATAGCCTGGTTCCTCTCAGCCAGCACTGCCAACACGTCCTTGCTCTTCAGGGGGTTTAAAGCCAGGGGCAACTCTGTGGTATTTCGAAGCTTCTTGATGGGGGCCATACTTCCTGGCATCTATGACTCCTGGTTAGGAGAGAGGAAAAGCTTAAAATCTTCAAACGACCGCCTTAAAAGCTCAACCCCCTAACACACGTATGCCACAGGCTTCTGAAAAGGAGAGAAGCCTTGGAGGAGGCAGTAGCCGCCTGACAAGGATACTGGAGAAGAAGGAAGGAAAAAGGAACAAAGGTTAAAGAAGGGGTAAGAAATAAAGGAAGGAAATGTTTAAAGATCGCTCTCGGAAAGGAACAGGGACAAGAAGGGGGAGAAACAAGAATCTGAATGAGAGAACGAAGATTGTGCCAGTGGCGGCAAAGCGATGCAGGAAAGGGAGGAAAGAGCGTAGCAGCCGGAGGGCAAGGGGGCTGGGAGGGTGCGGGGTGGGAACCTGGGTCTGAGGCAAAGAGTCCGAATAATCGGTGTCCGGTTATGGGGGGAAGCGCTGAACGCCGGGGAGTCCCGGACCAAAGAAAAGCCTGTTTCTCAAGCCTCAGGGTCCCACTCCTGCTGAGACTGCACCGGCCTAGTATCGATCGCGGTTCGCCACGGATTCAAGCTACCACTGACACCAAAGGAACCGCCTTCGGTAAACCGCCGCTTTGGAGGGGGCTGCCCCGCCCCGCCCCGCCCCTCAGCGGCCTTGTATCTGCCTCTTCCGGGCTTGTGTCACCTCCCGGAGACGGGAAAGGCGTGAGGGGCGGGGTTTCGCGCTCCAGAGGTTCGTCACTTCCGCTTTGTCTCGCTGTGTGGGCGGGACCTATAAACGCGTGTGGAACTGGTGAGGCGCGGCTGACTCCGCGTGGGCGCTGGGTAACAGGCGGGCGGAAGTGTCGCACACTGGCCGTGCCTCGAGTGTCCCGGCGCTGGGACCATCCCACATCCTTCAGGAAAAGAAGTATGTTGGGCCGAAGAGCTGATTGGGCAGGGCAGGGGACCAATTGAGGGAAGCACAGGGAAAGGATGGGAGAAGGCAGCCCTGGCAGGGCTTTCTTGAGGAACGAACTAAGCCAACAGTAAATCATACTGATGTTTGTACACCTCGCCACGTTAACGGAGCTCTTTCATACCTGTTCTTATATATAAACATCGCAGCCTCGTGAGTGGTCTCCCTGTCTGCTTCCAAGCTTTGCTCTAATTCTCGGACATTTCGCTATTATCCATGTGGAATACCCATTCGTTTGTGTAATATATAATTGAGAGATTTTTATATACCACCACTGTTCTAGGCACTGGAAATATATAGCAGTGAACAAAGTAGACATATATCCCTTGTTCATGGAATTGACAATGAGAAGTAACCAAATAGACTAATGAATAAGTAAACAAATGTGGCTGATGCTGATGACCATTGTAGAGTAAAAGCCGAGGAAGAGGATTAAAAGTGTGTTGGGGGCTTCCCTGGTGGCGCAGTGGTTGGGGGTCCGCCTGCCGATTCGGGGGACACGGGTTCGTGCCCTGGTCCGGGAGGATCCCACGTGCCTCGGAGCGGCCGGGCCCGTGGGCTGTGGCCGCTGAGCCTGAGTGTCGGGAGTCTGTGCGCCGCAACGGGAGGGGCCGCGGTGGTGAGAGGCCCGCGTACCAAAAAAAAAAAAAAAAGTCTGTTGGGGGGTAGGGGAGATGCAATGTTAGATAGGATGACCAGAGAACACTTCACTGAGGTACTTTTGAGCAAAGACTTCCAATGCAAAATTCCATGAGGTAATGGAACAAGCTACTTTAATTTTCACCGGAGAGTTTTCCAAAAGAGTGTTCCAGGCAAAAGGAACAGCAAGTACAATCACTCCAGGGTGGGTGCCTGCCTGGCTGAGAAACTGACCCTGGGGTTTTCCAACATTAAAGAGGCTGGAAAGAAAAGGGAAATGCAAAGAGATTGGGAAGGATCAGCCAGTAAGCTAAGGAAGAAAACCAGGAGGGTGTGATACCTTGAAAGCCAAGTGAAGAATGTGTTTTGTTTAAGAGAACCAAACACCTATGTTAAACTCTGCTGTTAGGTCAAATAGGATGAGGACTGAGAATTTACCATTGGATCTAACAATATGGAGGTCATAGATGACTTTTATAAGCGGTATTTTTAGAGTAGTTTGAGAGCAAAAGCCTGATGGGGTAGACTTAAAAGAGAGGGTGAGGAAGAACTGGAGACAGTCATTTTAGACAATTCTTTCAATGAGTTTTATTGTAAAGGGACACAGAGAAATGCGTAGCTGAAAGGAGAGATAGGATCATAGGAGGATTCTTTAATATTGCAGCACATGTTTTGTTGATGGGAATTGTCCAGTAAACAAAAGAAAACTGACGACGCAGGAGAGAGGGAGGAGAATTTTTGTATCTATGTCCTTAAGTGGGCAAGAGGGAACAGGATCTAGCGAACAATTGGAAGGATTGGCCTTAGATAGCAGGAGAGAGAGAGTTCATTATAACACTAGCAGTGAAAATAGAATATATACTGGTAATTGGGTAATATGGCAGTGGGAAGTTCTTTTCTGATTCCTCTGTTTTCTCTGTAAAACAGAATTGTCGCCAGCCTACAAGGTGGCCTCTGATGATCCCCACCTCCTGGTATTCACACCCTGTGTAGTCCCCTTTCACACTGTACCAGAGTTGGTCTGTGTGACAGATAGAATACGGCAGAAGGGGTGGTATGTCACTTCAGAGATGAGGTTATAGAAGACGCTGTGTCCTCTCTCTCTTTCTCTGTCGTGTGCGCTCGCTCGCTCGCTCTCTCTCTCTCTCCCTCCCCAGCGTGCACTCTCATTCTTTCCATCTCTTACTCTTGCTCTCTCATTCTCACTCAGATCACTTCCTCTGGGGGAAGCCATTTATGTCATGGGAAGTCACGTGAAAAGGCCCACGTGGCAAAGAACTCAAGGCTCCTGCTAACAGCCAGGTGAATGATCTTGGAAGTGGATCCTTCAGCCCCAGTCAGGTCTTCAGAGACTATATAGTCTTGGCCAACAACTTGACTGCAATCTCATAAGAGACCCTGAGACAGACGACCCAGCCAGAAACTGTATGAGTTAATACTTGTTGTTTTCAGATGCTAGATTCTGAGGTAATTTGTAACACAGAGAGAGATAACTAATACAAATAGAAAGCAAGTTCATCAATTAATAAGATAGAGGAAGAGACGTTGGAGGTTTGAAGAAGGTATAAAATAGTCGTCCAGGAGAGTAGAAGTATGAACTAGAAACATGTACAATTGCCAGACAGCCTTAAGGACCCATGTGAGGTTCATGATTATGAATTTAAAGTGAGACTAGTCAGCATGGTTGAGTGTTTTCCTTCAGTTTCATGGTTACAGGCATAGCCATAGGTAGAAATGTTACTTTTAACCAGGGTTGAGGTTTTACCAAACTGTTACTCTTAGACAAGAAAGGGGCAAGAGAGTTAAAGTTGAGCACAAGGGAGTGATTAAATGACTGACCATGGAATTTAAGATAGATAATATGGGAAAGGATAACAAGTAGGTAAGGGACCTTGTAAAGTTTGTAGGATCGAGAGATTGTAGGCTCCAGTGGGGATCTAAGGTTTGTTAGAGCAGGATACTAGAAGGAATGCACTGAAAAAGTAAGAGGTGGTGATCCAAGAGTGGGATGCTTGAAACTGCAGATACTGGTACTGTCAAAGTTTATGGTATGACCAAGGGAGGGAGTAGGAGAACAAGATTACTGGAGAAGAGGTCATGGAAATGAGGGCAAGAGCACTGGATGGATTATTCCTGAGGTTGTTGAAATCACCAAGATACATGACCAGAAGAGTGTTGGCGAGAGCCAGGAGCAACAATCTTCAGGGAATTTCAGGAAAAGACCTGGAGGCTGGTAGATGAGTGTAGCCTGGAAAGTAGCGAGTGACATAGTCTCACATCAGGTTCAAAGCAAGAGGTGAAGCTGAGAAAAAAAGGAGCTCCCTTTTTATAAATAATAAAATAAAAAATAAATGGTTTGTAAATAGCACTGAGTAATCAAGTAACAAGAAGGGAACACATCCCACATCCACACAGAAGGGTGAGGAGAAGAACATACCACTGGAGAGGGCCAGAGGGAGATTGATTTGTACACCTCCATACACACACACACACACACACTCAGAAGAAGTGTTATTAGGTAGCTCCTTGCTGTCTCTAACCTTCTACCACAGGCCTGTGCCTCCCACTGGCTGCTGTGCCAGTGGCTTCATATGAATCTATACTCTCGTGTGTCTTGGGCCCTGCACCCATTTTCTGACGTTTTCTCAAGGCTTATCTTCTGTATGGCCAGGGTTTGTTTCTCAGCAAGGGAACTGTTTGCTTAGAACTGTCAATCTTCTTCAGAAACTCGAATGGGTATTGCTGGCAGCAGTCTTGCGGCCCTACTCCAGAGCACTCTTCATCGGGCTAATAATCTCTGATGTGTGTGGCTGGGGGATCCCTGGCCATCTCTGCACAAAGCCCTGAGTCACTGGGTCTCTGGCAGTGGTCCACCCCACACAGAACTCAGAATGTGCTGCTTGGTCGTCACTGTCCTATTTGTGGCTGACTGACACCCCCCACCTGTAACAAATTAGAAAACTTGGTAACCTGTTCGTCCTAAGGGCCCATCCTAAGGAGAACCTCTCTGGAAGTGGGAAAGCTGCCTATTCCCACTCTCATGGGATCTGGATATCGGGATCCTCAGGCAGCTGAGTCGTACCCTCTTCCACTCTCTTTCCCAAATGTAAGCAGGATTCCCCAGGGCTAACAGCCAATGTTCTGGGATGTTTCCTGAAAGTTCTCTGTGTTCCTCCTCCTCCTTACCCACCTCACAGAATAACCCTTCTAACTGGAATAATTGATGAGGGTTCTTCTGCTTGCCTGTGCGCAGTAAGTTTCTGCAGCCGCATTTCATTGTATGTGGCACTAATAGCAGATCGTTCCGGTTGTCTCAGTAGCGCCTGCTGTACTGATCTTTGCAAAAAATTCTCTAATTTGTCATGGATGCAGAAGTCTTTCCCCTTTCTGTTGGTGGGTGATAAAAAAAAAATTAACAAGAATTTCATTGTCCTCCTCATTACCAAATACTCATCTTGGATGGACACAGAGATGCGCTTCCCAGATCCCCCTTCAAGGAAGGGCTTGTTGGCCCAGCTTCTGAGAATGTTGTAGTCCCGTGAGCTGTCGACTCCTTCAGGGACAGCCTCAGCTTCAGAGAGCAGCCTCACCCTCTGAGGAGCAGCCGCATCCTGAGACCGGTGGGTCTGGGGATGTAAAGGCCTGGCGGTTTCTGCCTGACTTGGAACAACGCCAATGAGCCATCATTTCGGCTTCAGAGCTCCCCGTGGGCTTGGCTGAGGTGGTCCAACCTACATCACAGCTCAGCCTCTTCCTGTGCCTCTTCCTGCTTCCTCCTCCTCCCTTCCACAGGTGCCAGTCTCCAGCGCACTCCCTGATAAACATCCTGAACTTGAGTCTTAGAGTCTGCTTCCTGGAGAACCCACCTACAACCCCCTCTGACTGTTGTTAGGCCTCAGGGACCAAGGCACTAACAGCTCTGAGGCCACGTAATTCCCAGTGTAAAAACACATAGACAATCCTTATCATTATTCTTTTTCCATCAAACTACAGTTTAAAGTCCTTGCTATTCCCTGTTGACACTTTTGAGCC